GGATTTCCACAATTATTCACTCCCAACAAGAGGAGAAGAAGAAGAAGAAAAGGAAAGGGAAGGGAAGGAAGAAATCGAGATGTTGCAGATTTTTGTGTCTGCAGCAAAGAAGCAAGTTCAAGAGGGGATTCTAGGAGAATAAACCATTGGTCGTCCTAAAACTTGAAGTACGGGTTTCGTACTCTCTGCCATTGGATCCGACCATTTGGATTATTGTTCTAAACTCTGGTTCGTCGAGGAAGGTTGCTGGACAGATAGGGTATGACCATGTTTTTGCTATAGTTGGGTTGCCGGTTCCTAGGAGGATTCCAAACAAACGAACCATTGGATCGTTGTCAAACTTTGAGGAGGTGTTGAAGACTCTTTGGGGGTCGATCAAACCGTAGGAATCGTGGTTCTAATCACTGGTTTGTCGGGAGACACTACGGGACAAAGAGGTTAAGAATATGTTTTGAAACTTTTTCACTCAAGGGAGCAAAGGTAGCAACACAACCGCAAGTCGAAATTACCCCCGAAATGTCAGGGAGTGACCGCAACTCGACGTTTTCCTCGGATGTGTTGCCCGAGCGAGTGGTCACGAGCGGAAGTACAACAACAGCGGTCACGAGCGAGTAAATGCTTGAGGGAGAGGATGAAGTGTCGGTTGAGTTCAAGTCGGGAACCGTATAGGAGGAGGAAAAAGAAGGTGTACCATCGCCAAAGTGTCACCTCTGTTATCGACAAAAATGTCTCTTTCCAAGAGGCAACGAGATCGAATCCCGACGTTCAATTGAGCTTTGGATGGGTACATACATTGATGCATAATTTTGGGAATTTAGCGACGGATTTACGGTCCTTTAGTGACAAAATCGAAGCTGTCACTAACGATTATTGGGATATTTTACAAATCAATTAAGAATTTTGACCATGTAAAGTGGATATTTGCAGTATTTGACAATTTTCAAAATTAGAGAAATTCCGTATGATGATTGAGAACTAATTTAATCATTTTTAAGATGATTTACTATTTTGAAAACTAATAAAAAAAATTTATTTAAATAAAATTTTATACCAAGGGTTTTTGCTGATTTGATAATTTTGTACGTTACTGGGGTTACAGGTTGATGTTATAAAATTATGATTAAGAAATTTAAGGATTTGTACAAGGTATTAAAATTGATCTATGATTTATTTGAATAAGGAAAATGGTTATTTAAAGGTTTTGATTTATGATTACAATGTGAACTAATGCTTTGATTTACTTAAGGTCGCAATTTGAGGTTTGAAGTAGAAAAATATTTTTTTGTATTTTTTTGATGAATTATGAGGATTTATTCAAGGTATATTAAGTTCTTTGGAAGATTTGAGTCCTGAAAAATATATAGAAAATTCCAGGTTTGAGAAAAGTTTTTTTTTATAAAGGTGAAATCAGTTATTAAAGGAAAATAAAAAGAAAGTACAAAGAGCAGCTGAACATCAGCAAACAGAAACGAGCAGGGGGCAGGATCCCCACACTCCATACACCCACGACAGCCAAAGAGACAAGACGAAAAGACGAAAGAAACAAAGCAAGACAACTCAAGGCCCACAGATGTAACCCAAAACCACGGCCCCCACCCAGCTCATCAAGGCATCCTCGCAGATGAGAGACAGATCGACAGATCAGGGTGCTATTGCAACCTCAACTTCCCAAAGGGAAAGCCCTGAAACTGCTGCAACTACATCCCTCCAAAGCAAACTCAGCGCTGCGCCCTATCTGCCCTTGGAAGAAGTTGGAGTTTCACATTCCTCAACCAATCATCTGCAACCACTCTATCAACCTTTCTGCTTGCACACAACCAGTCCACCATTGCTCGTCCAATCATAACACAAACCACATTAGTTGAGCCCTCAGCATCCCTGAAAACTCTGTTATTCCTTTCCAGCCAAGTGTACCAACACAAAGCATGGAGGAAAACTCTTGAACACCACTCTTGGGGGCAAACTGGTTTTTTCTTGCCCCAACTTCTCTTGACAGAGGACACTTCTGAAGCCACATTTGTCGGCAGCTTTACAAAGCTTCTCATGATCCGCCAAAGCTTTTGAGTAAAACTACAGGTCAGGAACAGGTGGTCAACATTCTCCTCATCCTCGCACAGAGCGCAACGATTCGGCAGTATCCACCCACGTTTCTTCAGATTGTCCTCGGTCAAGATCTTGTTATGATAAACCAGCCAAACAAACACGCACACTTTGTGAGGAGCAACCTGTTGCCAGATTAAGTCAGCTGGAAATCCGAGGCTCGGGTTGCTCTGGTCCTCGATCAGCTTCTCGTACATAGACTTGACCAGGTAGCCAGTGTTTGGAGATGGCTCCCAAATGATTCTCGAAGGGCCTGCAGAAAATGAACTAAAGGGAAGATTATAAAGTAAATTTAGGAGTTCAACTCTCTCACTCTCAGCCCCTCCCCGAAGATTATGATTGAGGATTAGATCCCAAGAAAGATTCCCCCCCCCCCTCACTATGCAGAACATCGGCAATCTGACAGCACGCCGACACCACAGCAGCAGCCACCCTTGGAAAGGACTCAGCTAATGAGGGTCTTCCCTTGATCCAAAAGTCGTACCAAAAGGAAGTCCAAGCTCCTCCTCCAGGGTCAACCCAAGCACGTTTCCAAAACTCTTTTGAAGCTTTTAGGATTTGGGACCAGGGGCTACATCCCATAGGACCCTTGTGCTCGCCTGACATCCACTCCGAGGCTTTATGAGGATATTTAAGGTTAATCAACTCCCTCCACCAATCATCTCTCTCATTCGCAAACTTCCATAACCACTTGGCCAGCAACGCTGTATTTCTGCTCTTTACATCTGCGACTCCCAGACCACCATATTTCTTTGGAGTCTTGCACATTTCCCAAGCCATAAGATGTATCTTCTTCTCTTGACTCGCACCAGACCAGATGAAATCCTTTTGAATTCTCTCCAGTTTTGCAATTATACTTTTCTCTCTCGCCTTTTGAGAAAAGTATTTGAAAGAGGAAAATGAGTAATTTTCAAAGGATCCTGGGATTAAGGAATTAAAAGGGGAAAATCCATGTTAAAGGGGAATAGGCTAAAGGAATATCGACCGAGAAGGAACTATTTTCGGTTATTATGTTCAAGAGATTCGTTAGATTGAGGGTTCTACGTCTGAGGAACTGAGGAACAGTCAATTATGAGGTGAGTGGTTTAAAAGTGTAAATTCTAATGTTACGAGTTTTAGAGTATGTAGTTTATGTGAAGTTTCATGTCAATATTTAAGGTTATGAATGCTTGAGTCTATGCCTATTGTGTTTGATTATGCATGCTTTTCGTTTGAGTGTTATTTTGAAAATTTACCTGTGAGCTTTCAATATCTATTTTTAAGCAGTTAAGGTTATTTCTTACTATTAAAGTGTTTATGATTATGATTTTCGAGAACAAGTATTGGTAGTACTTCACCACTATAAAAACTAAGGTTAAAAGGTACTTTATAAACACCAGTCCCCGACCCTAGTTAAAGTTTAAAGGAAAGGCACAGAATGCTGTTAAGGTTTATAGGGATGAATCAAGAAGACCTCTATAAAGATAAGGATATAGATAGGCCTAAGTAGACCCTCATACGTATGATTTTGACGGGTGGACTAGTTAGTGAAGGGATCTCTGAGTCGGTCAAATGATTAAGTTTTTTAGAGTGACGAGTAATAACAACTCCCACATGTTTGAATGTTAATAGTTAAAGGGTGGAAGTGGTAACAACTCTCACAGTTTTAAGGTGAACACTCAAAGGGAAAACCTCAAGTGTTCTGAGGCTTTAGTAATGACGTAGACTGTCCCCAACCCACTCAACAGGTCGTATAGAAGGACCGAGGGAGCAACAAGATGGGAGAGCGACTAGCTAGAGAGCAGGCAGCTAGCAGCTAGAGGAGGACAGTACAAGCGTCGTTGAAGATGTCAGAGATCGGGTCTGTGGGAGCAAGCAGTCGCGTAAGTTTTTAGTTATTATGCTTTACGTTTATGAGTGGAACTGATGATTAAGATTTTTATGGTTTAAAGTTTGGCTAAGTGTTAAGGTTTTGTTTTGAAGCAGTGACAGTTTACTTTCAGTATTCATTGAAGAAAATTTTACAGCTATTTTCCCCTTTTTTATGGTTCTGGTTGATGGTTTAATAAGGGTATTTTGGACTAGGGTGTTATAGATTCCTTCTGCAAATGACGAAAGTTGAATGAACAGTTGATGGCACAACTCATTCTGATTAAAGCTGAATGAACAATTGATGTAACAACTCAATCTGATGAAAACTGAATGAACCGTTGATGCCACAACTCAATCAGGCAAGCATGTGATGATGGCAAAACTCAATCTAATTAAAGCTAAATGAGCAGTTGATGACATAACTCAATATGAAAAGATTGTGATGGATATATGGTTATCTGAACCAACTATTGTGTTTGCATCATTGATTACGTCATATTTGGCAAAAAAAAGTTTTCGAATTAAAAAAATTATATCAAAATGTTAATCTTAATTAATTATTACTGCGTATATACAAATAATCTACGGAATATCTAATTAAGTTATGAAATTACACTACACAAGATTTCCTTATTTGAGAAAAAACCACTTTTTGGCGCTAAAGTTCGAAACCAAGTGTAGCACTTTAGCATTCCTATTGCAGCTGGTCTAACATCGTATTCTACTAATGTACGAGATGAAATTTTGTGTAGATAAATGACAAAACTTGTGACATTATCATCCACACCAAAAATAATTCATGGAACGCTAAGGAATAGGATTTTGAACAAGTTTGGGGGCAGTGTGTGATGAACTTGGAAGGAAAGAATGAAGCACCATTCATCTCCCTATTTGGTGTCTTGGTTTGCTTGGCATTAGGCGGGGAAATAGAGATAGAGAGCGACTTTTTCGTTAAATCACACAAATTAAAAATTCAGTTGGTAAAAAGAAGAAGGGGGAGAAAATAGAAATAAGAGAATTGAAGCAACTGACAACAAAACAAGGTTCTTGTCGTGTATTTTGTGAATTGCATCTGAGGGGGGAACGCCAACAGCAATCCATTTACTAATATATTTTTTTCGCGACTGAGTGTTTGTTTGTGGAGAAAAGGAAAATGACGACTCTCAGAGTGCCCGAAGTTGTTCCCTCTCCAACCCAGGACAGCGAGCGGCTCAGGAAGGCTTTCAAAGGTCTCTCTCTCTGTCTCTCTGGTTTCCCCCAAAAAGCATGAATTAATTGAATTGTTGCGTGGTTAATTGGGTAACAGGAGTAGGAACAGATGAGAAGGCAGTGATATGGATCCTAGGGCACAGAAATGCGAGCCAAAGGAGGAAGATTCGAGACACTTACCAGCAGCTTTACCATCAATCCCTCATCGATCGCCTCCACTCAGAGCTCTCTAGCGATTTCAGGGTAACCTCCTCTGTCTCATCTCATCCCTTCATTCTCTGCTAATCGATTTCGATTTCGATCTCATTTGTCGCTGCAGCGAGCAATGATTCTATGGACTTATGATCCTGCGGAGCGGGATGCAGTACTAGCAAACAAAGCGTTGATAGGAAAGAAGAAAGGGTTCAAGCAGTTGCAAGTCATGGTAGAGATGGCTTGTGCCACTTCTCCCCACCATCTGCAATCGGTGAAGCAGATTTACTGTACCCTTTTCGATTCCTCGCTTGAAGAGGACATTGCTACTCACATCTCCTTCCCCCTTAGAAAGGTGAACACTAGACACTTTTCCTACTCTCAAGCATATTCCACTCGTTAGCAAATTCCCCTCCCTTCCCTTGTCAATCAAATCATTCATTCCCTTGCCTTCATTTGCAGCTTTTGGGGGCGTTGGTGCGGTCTTACAGGTATGACAAAGAGCTGGTGGACATGAACTTTGCAAACTCGGAAGCAGCCAAATTGCGGGAAGCCATCAAGACAAAGCGGTTGGATCATGATGATGTGGTTTACATTCTCAGTACTAGGAATAAGTACCAGCTCAAAACCACTTTCGAGCTGTACAAGCAGCGGTTTGGGAATCCCATTGATCAGGTTTTGGTTTGACTTGACCCTCCCTGCTGACAAGTGACAACATCGTGGTTTGTGTGTGTGTGTGTGTGTCGTTGTTGCTACTGCTAGGCGGCATAATTAAGAAAAAAAGCTTTCCCTTTCTCTCTAGGATCTCAAGGAGTATGGAGAGGGTGATTTGGAGTCTCTTCTAAGGGCCGCCGTTCAGTGCATATATTGCCCTTCAAAACACTTTGCTGAGGTGATGTTGTAATTCCAGTTTGCTGGCTGGTCTCTAATGTCTAGTTCTGAATCATTGTTGGTGATGGCAGGTCATCAGGACATCCGTTAGTGGGCTTGGAACAGATGAAAAATCACTGACTAGGGCGATAGTGACCCGAGCCGAGATTGATCTGTTGAGGATACGAGAAGAGTATACAAAAATGTTTGGGACCAACCTAGAGGATGCAATCACTGGCGACACTTCAGGGGACTATAAACACTTTTTGAAGACTCTAGTAGGTGCCACTGTCTGAAGAAACCAATCTCTCTCTCGTTCTGCATATTCTCCCTTTTTCACCGATGAAATTCCATTTTTTTCCTCCACCTATCCGGTTGTTTAGTAGATGATCTGTTAATACTGGCGTTTGTCATTCTCTGATCCTCCAGTGGAGATTGTACCCATCAAATTCTCATGGAAACAAACACAACTTACTCGGAAAATCATCATAATAACAAAACCCTAACCATGCAAAGAAAAGACTCCCAAGTGGGGAATTACCACGAATAAGTAATAACCCAAGGTTAGAGTAATAAAGGGTGTGTTAGGATATTGACAAGTAAAGTTGATGGGATGTAGGATATTTTTTAATAGAAGTATAATCGGTAAGAATATTTTCTGAGATATGAGATTTGCTTATGTTGATTTGAGCAAGCTAGTATGGAACAGGTGATGATCAAACAATTTTATCTCTTCTACTCATGCCATAATCCTCAGTTTATGATCATACCATAATCCTCTGTTTATGAAGGAGGAAAAATAGAGGGTGAAGAAAACTTGGGAGGAATTAGAGAGAATTAGAACAATTATTCAACCAACCCATTCTATCTCTTCTACTCATGCCATAATCCTCAGTTTATGATCATACCATAATCCTCTGTTTATGAAGGAGGGAAAATAGAGGGTGAAGAAAAAATTGCGAGGAATTAGAGGGAATTAGAACAATTATTCAACCAACCCATTCTATCTCTTCTACTCCTGCCATAATCCTCAGTTTATGATCATACCATAATCCTCTGTTTATGAAGGAGGGAAAATAGAGGGTGAAGAAAAAATTGGGAGGAATTAGAGGGAATTAGAACAATTATTCAACGGAAAAAATTGCCTCTTATTGGGTCTCTTTTCTCCTCATTTTTTCCTTCAAAATTGAACACCACTTTCCCCTCATTATTTCATTACCTTCAAATGTTCACTCCCTCAAAACTTTTGAAACGACCCACTCCATTTCGAAAAGCAAACAATAACTCAAACCGAAAACCGGTTACTCCGGAGCAACACAAACCACTTTTTAAAATAAACAAACTTACAATGTTTGACAATTTCAAACAAAAAGCCTGAACACTTGGGCAAATGACATCCAAATACTTAAAATGAATGAACTCAGATCTCCAGTTTATACTCCTAACCATGTAACAAAGAAATTAAACTATTCTAACTCTGACTCTTTACGAGTTACTTGACTTTTCATCAATGTTGGTGCAGCTACTCGCCTTGCCTTGCCTCTTCTTGAATCCGCCTCTGCTAACCCTTCCTCGACCTGGTGAGTGAGAATGGGTTAGTCTCATTGCTTCTTCTTCAGGTCTTTGCCCTAGGCAAACTTTCTACTAACACGTTATTAGAGTTTCCTTCCTAACACGAAAACTGTTCTCGCTTTCTGCTCTTAATAATCATCCTTTCAACTAGCTTATAGAAGCTCTCAACTTCTATCCTGAACCGTAGAATTTTGCTATTTCTATCCTTAACTTAGATACCAAACACTAGGGACCACCGCGTTACGTATCATCGTCCGGTGTCCCTACCCTAGTATGCCAACCGCGTTACGTCTCTCCGTCCGGTTGCATACCCAAACTTGGCAATAGCACTACCTTACGTCTCGCCATCCAGTCCATGCCCGATCAACTACTACGTTACGTCTCGCCGTACAGTAGTGACCCCAACATACTCGATTAACTGTTGCGTTACGTATCGCCGTCCAGCAGTGATCCGACCATCTACCTCGTCCAGTAGTGGCACAACCACCCGGGGGTTCATCTTACCATCAACCAACTATTACAGTCATACATCCATGCATTCATGCATAGCACAACGCGTGCCTCCACCCTGAGTAGGCGGTGGGATGCCTCACACACATATCGCGCAGAACTCAAAAATTAACTAGCATTACAGAAAATAAAGGCATAAACTAAAAGACCTACGATTGAGATATTACCCCCTTTATACTCACCTCTTTAGTCGCGTCAACGTCTGCATTCTAATGCTCAAGCTCCGAATGTTTTTCCTCATTTGGCTCCTCCTCTATCGGTTCATCGTCTTCCTCTTCGACGATCCTCACCGCTGGAGCTCCGCCGCCATTCTCTTTGAGGTCCCTCCTCCGGCCACAATTCAGCGGTCAACTTCGAACTGCCGACACCCCGGGTTGTCTAGGAGGATAGGGTCGGAGCCTCTCCGTCGCTTGACCACCAATAGTCGCCATCGCCGAGTTCATAGTCTTTCTCCCGCTTCCGCTAGTCACGGCTCTACCTCTCCTACTCACAGGTGTGAACCTATTCATCACACGAGACTACGAAGCTTGATCGACAGCTAACTTTCTCACCTTTCTTTCCATCCTTAACTTTCTCACCTTTCTTTCCTTCCTTACCAGATTATCCAAGGAAACCTATTAATAAGAAACTCGTTTCTCTAAGACAGCCTTTCTAGATTTAAAATCCCTTTTATTTACAAAAATACCCTCTCCCCAAAGTCGCATCCTCAAACCTCACTCTAAAGATCCCTTAAGCTCCTTTAACAATTTTCTAGAAGTAATCCCTTCAAAATCGACCATTTTTCCTAATTAATTTCATCTTGAACAAATTTTTCACTTAACTTGAACCTTCTTAAAAATTCAGATAATAATTTTCCCATGTCAATCATGAGAATGTTTACCCTAGAAAATTATTAAACCATTAAAAACACCTCGTCATGATTTATATTTAATTAAAATAAATATTCAACTAGTTTCTAAAAATATTAATACATCTTCAAAAATACGCAAATTAAATCACACGCATTTCCTAGTCACCGCTCAATTTATAAAAATTTTAATATCAGAAACCAACATCCACAAAGGCTCGAAACAATTTAAAAGGGTAATTTGCAAGGTTGGTCACTGAAAGTGCTAAAATATTCACGTTTGGTCACTAAAAGAATTTTATTCCATTCGTGGTCATTGAAAGTGCTTAACATTTCACGATTGGTCACTCTCCGTTAATCTCCAATTTAACGGCAATGAATGGAGACTAACGGAGAGTGACCAATCGTGAAACGTTAAGCACTTCTAGTGACTATGAATGGAAAAAATTCTTTAAGTGACCAAACGTGAATATTTTAGCACTTCAGTGACCAATCTTGCAATTTACCCCAATTTAAAACATCTAAAAGTACGTTTCTGGACATTCCCTGCAGCTTTAGCAACCACCAATAATCTGTTACTAAAGGCCTGAAAAGTCTGTTGCTAAAACCCCATAATTGCTCCCTCACGAAAAATCACCAAATCGATCGATCTAACTCAAAGGCATTGAGTTCTCTTACCTCTAGAACTTGCCTAGGACTAGATTGGATAACTCGAGACGTTGATCTCCTCGTTGATCGATGTTCAAACTCTCAAACCTCACCGCAAATGCTATAGTACAAAAATACGAGTTTCGAATTAAATTATCGATAAATTGAGTTTGGAATCGTGAAATGGTTCGTGATCCTTAACTAGAAACACGAAAGGGATGGAATCGGGAAACGGGGGAGAGGCACTTCCTTTCTTTCCTTCTTCTTCCTTCGCCCGACGCTCGGGCTACTACTGCTCGTTACTTTGGGAAAAAGGGGTTTGCGGCGGGGAGGTTATGTGATGTTGGGGTTTGCGTGGGGAGGGGATTTATTAGGGGTTATTAAGTGGAGGCTCGGCCTCTATGGTCGCCCCACTCTTTGTTGTTTGTTTTTTTAATAATATAATAGTTATTATTATTATTACTAGTTAATTGGCCCGCGTTATGCGGCGGGTCCTATAAAAGCTACCTAAATGGACTATTACTCATTTGAGCCATTATTTAGGAAGTTCTAAGATTTAACTGAGTTGAAGTAATGCAATATTGATTAGTTCTAAAATAAAAATGGGTTCTATAATTGAGTCCATGAGTATTCATCCACGTCAAGTGTCGTCAACAATTAGATATGGAGTCTTGGTGAACTAATTGTGACTAAAATAGTGAAGATGGAAGTATTTTGAGATGGTGACAAACTCGCTAAATAAAGGGTCAAGCGACTTTATATGAAATAAAAACAATGATATGAATCTGAAAAATATATTACTCTCATTATAAGATGGAATTTCTTTTAAAAAGTTATGCCTACTTAATTGTCATTACTCTAGCGGTTTTTATAATATTTAGTATCCACGATTCACACTTTAGTGGTCCAACGGTTTACTCTCAATATAAAATAGAAAATACATTACATTGCTTTCAAAAGCACTACGTAAATCAAATTTTATATTTTTGTGACAATTATTATATTGTACTTAACAATATACATTCTTAAACTCGCATCCAGAATGCATAAATGTTTGAAAGATAAATGTTAATTCCCATCATAAGTTTGAAAGATAAATGTTAACCAAAGATTATGCCTACTTAATTTTGTATTTTTATAATACATAAAGAAACCATGAAATGCGGTAATAAGATGGAATTTGGAAACAAAACCACCAGGGAAGAAGGAGGGCCAAGTGGCATCCTTCCATGACAACATGTAACTCATGCAATCCCTCCCATTGCAATCTCTACTTCCCCCAATCCGTCGGAATCCTCGTTGATCAGAATGTATCCGGCCGGCCCCTGAAATCTTCACTCACTCTCTTATTCCACTCTCTTTATTCACTCCTTAATCAGCAATTGGGATATGGAGTTAGGCTGATCAGTGATTGCACCTACGACTATCCAACTCCGATCGATCTCACCTTGGCCAGCGGCCAGGGGATCGGCTGAGGGGGGAAAGGAAAGGGGTGGCGTGGCCAATGGGAAAAGGGTTAAGATCTACTGAGGGGCAAAGAGTTTCCTACCAAGCAAATACTCAGGGATACCATACCACCTGTACGTGGGACTTGCCTAATCGCTAGCCGGATGACGAATCGAAGATTGGAGGAGAACGGAGAAAATCACGGCACAGGAAAAAAGGGGGTATGGTTACTTATGGTGAACATCCCTGCATTCCACCAGACCCCTAATGCAAAACATGCGCTACTAATTATTCATTCATAAACCGCAATTGCAACCCCTCATACGTAAACGTTAATCCAACCGCTCATATATTAAGGTCGAACCTAAACCCAAAGGTCGGAATGTTACAACTTTCTTTCTCCTTCCCAATTTTCTCCTCCTCTTTCGTGAACAAAGCGTAAATGAGAGTATACTGCTAGTGATACATATACCATTAGATCTAGGGGTGGCTATACGGTCCGGTCCGGTTAAATTGACCCAAATTGATCCGGTCCAGTCTGGTTTTTTTGAAAATATAAGGACCGAAGATTGGATTGGATACAGTCCGGTCTTGATCCGGTCCGGTCTTGACCCGGTCCGGTCCCAATTCGGTCTTGATT